TTTCAACATCCATCTAAGTTATTGGTTATACTATGTCATAACCAATCAGTCATTACCTTCACTAATAATAAGATAGGATCACAGATACGGGCAGATAATTGCACTTACATTTATTTGTCAAGCTTCCATACAATGATTTACAATTTGCATGGATATGTGATTCACTCACGTTCACGCTGTAATAAAATTAATCTTCTAAAGGAAAATTTTAACTTGGGAACACATGTGATTACTCTACTATGGGTATAACTTAACAGAGCCTTAATTCTTCAAGTGATACAGTTACTGACAGCCTGGATTGCTTTTGTTGCAACCAGGCTTCCACACGTGATATTTCCACGGGGATAACAACCCTAGGTTAACACACTTAGTCTCGTGTCGATCACGGTCACTGTAGACGGGTGTCGTGCAGGAGAACTCTGTAAGCATGAATTAATTAACCATTTATTGTAGATTTGATAGGCCAGCCTGGATTGCTCTTGTCACAATCAGGCATCCACAAGTGATATTTCCACGGGGATAACAACCTAGGTTAACAGGCTTAGTCTCGTGTCGACGACGGTTCACAGGACGGAGTGGCGGTGGAGGACTCTGTGTGGTGTGGTGTCCCGCCCCCCTTTCAGGAGGGAGAGGATGGAGACGACGTCTTAACTAACCCATGGCTCAGGGGATACTGCTTAAAATGAGGTTTTTGGGTGTGAAGCGATGAACAGTACAACACTGTTTCATTGCCCACCCCCCTAAAGGCTGGCTAACATACACTAATTGAAAAATACATGTCCCAGTTATGCCTCGCCGGGCGTCTTATCTCTGGTAAAACAAACTTTGGAGTTGGTTGCGTGGGTAAGCCTAACGCAACCCATGACATATATATATATATGTATATATATATATATATATATATATATATATATATATATATATATATATATATATATATATATATATATATATATATATATATATATATATATATATATACACTATAGACAATTTAATATTCGCTTTCTAAGTCATGTTGAAGGGAAATAGGTTGATAAATTACACTCTGTAATGTAAGCGTAATCTCTCTCGGGGTTAAGATAACTCTGTGACGATGTTTGAGACTGTAGGTACTGGAAGGTGTGATTTATCGCAGAATTGTACCAAAATATCGAACAAGCCCTTCCACGACGAGGTCTTGCTCGTAGCGTGCCTTCCTCTTGCCATCGTCGAATCCACCTGTACACGGTGGATATACTTGCTCCAGATTCTTGGGAGATTTCTCGAGCTGAGTACCCATTATGCCACATCAATATGATCTTCACCCGATTTGTCAGTACCAACACTGGATTTTTGGTCGGTCGGCTTTCCATGAAAGTTACTCTGTCGACAAAATCATTTAGACATGATAGACTTTGACTCATGCATGGGTTACACGTTTGATGTGTAAGGAACAGAATATTTTGTAATCGGTTTCCTGTTTGGCATATTTTATGAAACAAATATTTGTTAGGAAATTGAAAGCTTTTGGTTTTTTTCGCTAAATTGGCCACTAAATTGCGTTGTGAATGAAGCGAAACTCACACAAAGAGACTATGAATTGCAAAACTTATTAGATCAACCCATTCAGTGGTAAGAGATTTTCTCAGCTGAATAAATCATCGAGCGTTAGCCAGAATAAAATACTTAAGTGCGATACTACTCATTAAAAGGTTAATGTCGAATAAATTGACAAATGAAATGACTGATAAAATAATGTTTGGAATTTATATATTACAAGACCTAGTGAGTGATCGTGTTAAGTAAAATACTTACTGTTACCAACTCCGAGTGACGCAAAGGGCCTGATTTCACTAGGTGTTCAGCGTTTCCTCTGTTATTACAATCCAGGCGCTTCCTGCCACCCCCTTCTTTGTGTACGAACCTATGTCCTGTATGGCAGTGAAAGGTGACATTACCCACATGAATCTGACCGACGTATATGTATGTATGTGTGCGTGTGTGTATATATATGTACATGTATATGTGTATGTATATATGTATATGTGTGTATATGTGTGTGTGTGTGTACATTTATGTATATGTACTGTCAATGAATATGATGCATCTCTTTGTGTACGAACCTCTGTCCTGCATGGCAGTGAACAGTGACATTACCCATATGAATCTGACCTCTATACATTTATAGCTGTTAATGAATATGATGTATTTCTTTGTGTATGAACCTCTGTCCTGCGTGGCAGTGAGACGTGATACCACCCTCAGTGTCAAGACCTGACTGAATTACTCAGAATAGGCAAACTGTACTACAAGCTCTGCCAATAAATTTGTTAAACTAAAACTCCTGCCACCCTCTCCATTGTTCTTAGCAAGGTAGGGGCGGTCTGCTTCTTTTCCTCGCTCTCTCTGGTTCCCATCTGCAAGGCTCCTCGAAAATTATTTTCATTCTCTATACGAAGCATATGACTCATATAATGTAAGGCACTATACGTTGGGAATTTCTCTAATAATTTGATCATCCATCAGACCTTGTCATAAACCTCCAAATATTTTTCAGAATGCTTTGTTTTCAAACACACTTAACTGTCTCGAAATAGTCTCATTGCCTCACCAAGGCACTACCAAGGTAGTCCGTAGTAGGCAGTTATCAAACAGGGAGGTACTACCGCCTGGGAATATATTGGAAGCATAAGGTGTTGTCTATGGTAGACCTTGCTGTCATATGGCATCACGAAAATTGTGACCAAGTCCCAGGTTGCTGATCTGACTTTTTGCCTCATTTACACACAATTGCAGGGTCTCAATTGTTTCTCTTACTATTGACAACACAACATATATACTGTATACTGTTTCTCACTATTTTTTTTTCAATTTGTATTTCTTTATTATTATTATTATTATTATTATTAGTAGTAGTAGTAGTAGTAGTAGTATAAGTATTAGTAGTAGTATTAGTATTATCAATATTATTATTATTATTATTATTATTATTATTATTATTATTATTACATTTTCGCCCCCTAGGCCCCGATGTGGGTCAGTGACCTGTGCCTGGGTGGGCTAATCCCCGTAAAAAAAAAATGTAATTGTAATTATGTAGGACAGACAGGAAAAACACTGCAGCTCAGAATCAAACAACATAAGTATAATATCAGAACAGCATCTGAAAGCAGTGCCTTGTTCGTTCATGTTAGGAATAATAATCATCCCATTGCTTGGGAAAAAAGCTTAGAAGTATTTATATCATCTTATGTCACAGAAAGACTTCTGGTTGAAGCTAGTTTGATTAAGGAATTAAAATCAATAAACCTTAGTGATGGTCAGTTTAAAGCTGATATGTTACATAAATTTATTTGCCAGTGGCCCAAGGTTAAAAATGCTTTGAAAACCTTTGATCTAGATGTATGATAGTTATTTAGTGGGTCCCTTATTTTTGACCTGACCTGACTAGTCACGTCACCCCCCCTTCTCTTAAGTTCCTCTACGTGTGTGTTGGTGTGGGGATTAGTGGATGACATCATTATGACTTGACCTCATGTTTTTAAGGTCACCCTGTATATTTAAGCCTCTCTCTGTCCATGTAATCCAGTTGCCTCTGAAGATGTCTTGAATAAAGACGAAAGCTACGGTGCTCCGTTGTTTCCCTTTTCCCGTGTGATTTTATCAAGATTTATCTTATCCACGTTTTCATTGTGGATCTAAATGAAATATATATATATATATATATATATATATATATATATATATATATATATATATATATATATATATATATATATATATATATATATATATATATATATATATATATATATATATATATATATATATATATATATATATATATATATATATATATATATATATATATATATATATATATATATATACACATATATTGATGTGCCTATAAGTTGTTTCATTGTAGTTCCTCATGCTTTCATCAGACAATAAATAACAGATAGAACAAACAGCCGGGCCTGGAGGACGACACACTATGGAGAGAGAGACAGTGTCAACAAGGAAGCGACCTTTACCTTCGATCTATGTATGTGACTACCGCCCGTGACCACATTTGGACTTACCCAACCTTACTTACCTGTTGGGCGCTGTCAACGCTTTCGTGCTTAGTCTTGCACAGGATGCAAGGGAGTGCCCAATAAACTAGTTCCCTCGCGGGGCAAATTATATATATTTTTTAAATTAGTTCATTCCCAGATTACCCACTGCCACATATCAGTTAATCCATCAAAGAAACTCACATAAGTTAAAATGTTTAAATTGTTGATTATTTGTACTTATTTCACTATTACAATATCGAAGTTACTTGCTATTAGGTGATGAAGCAGTAATGAATAGTGTGTGAAGATTAATAAATATTGCTTTACTCAACATCTACCTGAAAACGGGTCCCATTAAATAGAATTTCTCAATCACTGTGGGACACAAAGACATGGTGGGGTTGCAAGCGGCCCACGGGTTACCAATGCCTGTGTACATAAGAACATAAGAAAATAAGGAGTCTGCAATAGGCCGGTTGGCCTGTGCATGGCAGCTCTGTCGAGAGTTACAACCACTCTCTATCATCCATGAAGAAACAATCTCCGAGGAGAGTGAGGGTTGGCTGCCCATTTTGGACCGTCTAATGACAGATTCAAATGGAAATTGGGAGTGCTGTTAGGTTTGTTTGCAATAGTTCACAATTAATTTTCTCTCTTGTGCTACACTCCTGTATAAACAAAATAAGTTACACATTGTAAAAGGACTTAATCCTCCAGATTATACGCTTTCAGCCGTGTTGATGTAGGAAGGCTTACCGCGATTAGATCCAATGAAAAAGAAATGGGTTGTTTTATTATGCTGACGATAGTCTTACGAAGAAAAAGGATATCCAAAATATTTCTTCAATGTGCTAATGACGAGTGTGATAAAGACATTCCCTCTTAGTGTCCATTAGCTTGCAACTATAACTGGAAGCAAAATAAATAAATAAATAAAACATCGCCATAGGGACTAACCTTTTACAAAATGCTGAAGCAGACACCACTTTCTCGTTGTAGTAACAACGCACAAATGGCTACACCCGCTGCCTCAGTGTTGTATTTATGCATGGGAGGCTGCGAGCAGATAACAGGGAAGGGGCGTCGCTCATGTGCTGGTTAACTTAACCTTTAGTTAGTTTTGCACTGCTGCCACCACTTTTCTCATTGCACTTATTTCGTCCAAAACTCACGATAACACACAATGAAAAACATATTCTGAACATCTTAGTTTGTCAGGTAAATCCTAAGATGTTCACCGGGATAAACATAGACCAGACGGTTGACTGCCATGATTGTTAACAGGTTCATAAACTTATCTCAGACTCAATAATAATTTCAGGCAAATTAGCTTGAGTCTCCTGCACATGAGGTCAGGTAACCTATTCGCATTGTGGAATACTGTGAAATATTGTTTCTGACTGTGTGTGTGTGTGTGTGTGTACGTTTGTCGGCGCATACTCGCCTCCCAGACATATGATCTCTACATATTTGGGTTCGTTGGAATCGTCTTGACCCACAGATGGTTCTTAATTGTGTTTCATTTCAAAACTTTGAGTTTTGGGGTGTTGGGCTTTTTCTCCCATCTCCAATAATCTGTGGTTAATGGCGTTTCCTACTAGTATATCATGAGAGCCGGTTAATGGCGTCTCCTATAGTCCCGGAACGAAACCCCCAAGAGGGCCTCAGTTTTCAAGTAGGTCTGGTCAACAGGGTAACATTTGTCTATAGCTAAAACTAAGCTTTGGGGAGTGGAGATTACAAAACCTGGTGATGCCATTGTAAAAAATTCGTGCGAGTTACATACGGTGCCATTATCCCAAATGACCTACATTTCATCGTTAGTCAGCGTCTCCGGAACTATGTGACTTAAGGTGATGATTATGGTGTCAAACTATATGTGTTTTGGGGTCAAGGAATCTGATAAAGATAAATTCAGATCAATTAGACAAATAATAACTCAGTTGTTATATAATGCTGAAAAAATCACAGAAGTGGAAGGGATATGCGTGAATCAGCTGCAACACACCTTTGCCACTTTTGTTCATCATAAATCGCTCCAACTATGCCAAATAAATGCCAGTACTTCTCTTACAGCCGCAAAGATTACCACCTGCGATGCTTGAGGCCATTATAAGGGGACACTTTGTAAGCAAGCTTTCACAGGGGAAGTTTAATTCTTTTTGAATGGACCACATGATTGATGACCACACAGAACAAAGACCTTAAAGGCGCAGATGGAATGATTGGTCTGACTCTCAGAGGAATCGAATGAATGAGATGGTTCTTAAGTAGACCAATAACAGCACAGTACTTAGAACAAACAGAGATGGGTCCTACCACCTTGGCGCTCAGGCAGCTAAACGTTGGGATGAAGATTTCAACAAGAGGAATGAGATGTTTAATGGGTCGTACATTGACTCCTTTGATATATCAGATCCACCTCTTCAGCTCGTGAACATTGCTGATGGTGCTGCTGTACCATGTGATATTCAAAATTCCATGCTGACTGCCAAGGTTGAAAACAATGACAGACATGAAGAACACAGAAAAAAAGTAAATAATAACAATGTATCCATTGATACTGACACAGTGTATACCTGAGACTACTAGCAGTGAACAGTAATAAAAACGTTCCTCTTCAACGTGCCCATTCATATGAAAACTCACTAGTGCCTCTAAGTCTCTTTACGGAATGTGGGCACTTGATTTCTGGTAAAGAATAATCTGACTTGAAGCACAAGCTTGAAGAACTGGTTCCAGGTGAGAAGGTCAGCCAAATAAATGTATGTGATGCAGCGATATTTGATGGGCAAGCAGTGATTGAGATACTAACACCTTCCACAACAAATAATACCATCACATTTCAAGACATGGCCACACGTTTCCTGAAGTATATCTTGTAGACACTTGGACACATGAGCCCAACTGAAGAAACTGAGATTCATATCATAATTGACAAGTATTTATAATTTAGTGTCAAAATAATGCCAGGAGGAAACTTGGAGATATGCAACGTGGGATAACGTTACACATCCAACGATACGCTGCTATCCTGTCTAACTGGAAACAGTTTCTAGCTACAGGTCAAAACAAGGCTAATTTAGTAAAATACCACACAAAGTATTTGATGAAAAATGGAAGTTCCATGTTGGTGGAAATGGAGACAATGCCGTGAAGATCACCAAGCAGGGTAGTGAAGAATTTGAAGCTTTGAAGTCAAATTACGAAGAGGCAGACACAAGAATATGTGAACATGCGAGATTTGCTGCTGAGAATGGAGCCAACCATACTGTTGTAAATTTAATGTAAGCAGTCCACATACCGATGTCCATGTGTTGCCTGTACTTCACCGTTCTGCCATCAATTCCAGTGAAATATTTTTCCTTACTGGAAGGGAAGAAAAGCATGCCAGTCTTACTCGATATATACCCATCCACCTAATATATAACAAGTTATCAAATACACACTCAAAAAAATGCTTTAAGTCTCCTATTTGACTGGTTGAGATACCGGCAGCCCTTTGGGGGACATGGAAAGTAGGATGCCTATAACTTGATGATGGAAAAAAAAAAGCAACAACTTCCAAGATTTGTCCACCTTAGGTAAAACCATGACACTACAAAAATCTGATAAACTCACCAAATGTTCTGGTTTCCTAAATTATTCTTTAAGATGTAAAATACTGGAATTAAAAATTCAGCAACTTATCTCAGTCCTTTCAATATCTATTCCATGTGCATAAACATGGTCTCAGAGTATCTCTAACAAATTCCTTGACCGAGAATACATATAGTTTCACGACCATAATCATCGCTTGAACTCCCTTAGTTCCAGAGATGATGACTTACGATAGAACGTCGGCCATAAGCTCCAGTCAGCATCAGGCGACGGTAAGAAAACGTGGAATGTCATAAATTCTATGCAGAACAGGAACACTCAGCCTTCGGCCTCCACTTAGCTTTTATGAAAAATTATTCAGTTGTAACGGAACCCTCCCTCATTGCCAAAAACTTAAATGAATATTTTATTATTGTTGGGAAAAATCTTGCAAAGAGCATCCCTGATCACCATGAGGAATTTAGAGCCTACCTGCAAAATCAGCTGTTCTTATCCCATGTCACAGCAAATGAATTACTGGCTATCATAAAAATGTCCAAAAATGCAGCACCAGGCGAAGAAAATATATCAATGAGCATCAATAAGAAAGTAGCCCAATTATTACTACCTGTTCTCCTACACATATGTAACTCCTCCTTACTATAAGATATTGGCCGGTAGGGTTAAGACCGAGATAAGAAAAGCCAAGAGGAATAATGAGTTGAAGATAGCAAGGGAGACAAAGTCAAACCTCAAGGGATTCTATCAAATTTTTCAAACTAAAACACGAGAAAAGATTGGACCAATACAGTCAGATACCGGCGAGCTAACTGATAACGACGGAGAAATGAGCAATAATCTGAATAAATATTTTTCAACAGTTTTCACAACCGAAAATTTAAACATGATACCCGAAGCTCCAACTCTATACAGAGATAGTGAAGAAAATAAATTAAGCGAGATAGTAGTGACTAGTAACGACGTTAGTAAGCAAATAGTCAAACTAAAGCTTAATAATTAAGTCACAAGGTCCGGATGAGATATTTGCCAGAGTAATAAAGGAATGTATGGAAGAGCTTAGTATGCCCTAAGCAAAGTTGTTTAACATGTCCTTAAAAACGGGTGTAGTACCAGAATACTGGAGGATAGCGAATGTAATACCGATTTTCAAGAAGAGAGATAGCTCACTATCCTCTAACTACCGTCCAATTAGTCTAACATCAATTGTAGGCAAATTACTGGAAGCAATCATTTCAAACACTATTCGAAATCACCTGGAGAAGCACAAGTTGATCAATGATTCCCAACATGGATCCGTTCTCGAATCAGTGGACGAGGGGCACAATTATGATGTGGATATCTCGACTTTAGCAAAGCCTTCGACAGAGTACCCCACGAAAGACTAATAAGAAAAGTGGAGGCTCATGGCATTAAAGGTGATATTCTGAAATGGATTAGGGCGTGGTTACAAGACACTAAATCCCATTGGAGCAACGTCACTAGTGGAGTTCCCCAAGGCTCAGTACTTGGACCAGTATTACTTATTATATACATAAACGACATAGATATCGAAGTAGACAGCAACACAAGTAAATTTGCTGATGACACTAAAATAGGACGTGTAATTAAATCTGACATTTGGCAGATGAAATTCAATGTGGACAAATGTAAAGTACACAGTATAGGAGATGTAAACAGGGAAACCAGATACCAGATGAGCAACGATGATATTGAGAAATCCGACTGCGAGAGAATTAGGAGTAATGATAAGTAGGAATCTTAAGCCAAGTAAACAATGTGTATTTGCTCGAAGCAAAGCTAATAAAGTACTTGGGTTCATACAAAGGAGTGTTAGTTACAAGACTAGCGAGGTCATCTTAAAACTATATCGTGCGCTTGTGTGACCTCACTTGGAATACGCAGTTCAATTCTGGTCACGGTATTACAGAATGGATATAGAATCCTTGGAAAGAATTCAGTAGAGATTGACAAGACTAATCTCGGGCATTAGGAACCTTGAGTACAGAGACAGGTAAAAGCATCTTAATTTGCACTCCCTAGATTGACGTAGAGTGAGGGGCGATATAATAGAGGTGTATAAATGGAAGTCAGGGCTAAACAAAGGGGACATTTCAAACGTACTCAAACTAGCCAGTCAGGAGCGAAATCGTAACAATGGTTTTAAATTAGACAAATTTAGATTTAAGAGCGAAATAGGTAAACATTGGTTTGGAAATAGAGTAGTGGACGACTGGAACAATTTACCAAATATCATCATTAACTCGAATACGCTGGATAGCTTCAAACTTAGGTTGGATGGATATATGAGCTATAGGGATGGGTGTAAATGGGACTGCCCAGTATGGGCCAATAGGCCCGCTGCAGTTTCCTCCATTTTTATGTTCTTATGTTATCAGCATATATATATATATA